TTTTATTGGCAATCATCAAATACAGTGTTCAGATTTCCCTGGTCGTCTCATAAAATATTATAGTTGATTTGTTTGAATCTAGATCCTGTTACCTCAATAAAAAATAAATCTATCCTTAAAAAACTGAAAATAGACTTACCCTGTCATCCAGCAATCCTAATTCTGGGCAAATATTTGGAGGAAACTCTAATTTGAAAAGATACATGCACCCCAATGTTCATTGCAGCACTATTTACAATAGCCATGACATGGAAGCACCCTAAATGTGCATGGACAGATGACTAGATAAAGAAGTTGTGGTAGGGGGAGGGTATAGCTCAGTGTTAGAATGCATGCCTAGCATGCATGAGGTCCTGGGTTCAATACCCAGTACCTCCACCAAAAGTAATAAATAAATAGATAAACATAATTACCTCCCCCCCAAATTAAAATAAGAATAAAATTAAAAAAATAAAGAGCAGAAGTTTTTTTTTTTAAAAGAAGAAGCTGTAGTATATTTATACAATGGAATACTACTCAGCCATAAAAAAGAAAGAAATAATGCCATTTGCAGCAACATGGATGGACCTGGAGATCATTGTACTAAGTGAAGTAAGCTAGAATGAGAAAGAAAAATACCATATGGTATCACTTATATGCGGAATCTTAAAAAAAAAAGGACATAAATGAGCTTATTTACAAAACAGAACAGACTCACAGACAGAAAACAAACTTATGGTTACCAGGGGGAAAGGAAGTGGGGAAGGATAAATTGGGAGTTTGGGATTTGCAGATACACACCACTATAAGTTAAAACAGATGAAACAACAAGGTCCTACTGAGTAGCACAGGGAACTATATTCAATACCTTGTAATGGCATATAATGAAAAAGAATATGAAAAGGAATATATATATATATATATATGAATCACTATGCTGTACACCAGAAATTAACACAACGTTGTAAATCGACTATACTTCCATAGAAAACAATCTATTAAAAAAAGTAGACATAAGAGGTACCTCAACCAATCACAACAAATAGGCTTCATTTGGATGTTGATTCCACTTTCTTAACCCATCCCCTTCCATGGCATCTTTCCCAGCTCCTGTAAGCCCCTTAAGGACAGAGATGGTGTATCATTGTACACCCAGGGCCTAATGCACAGTGTCAGGCACATCGCCCCCAATCCCAAGGGTTTCTGGAAGATTCATGCCCTAACCAGGAGATAGAGAATGCTCTGGCAGTTTATAGGTTTCAGTGGCAGGGAATGCTGCCCAACTGCTTCTGGAAGACATACAAAAAAGAAGGAGGGAGATGGGTATGATTATTCCCCAAGTCAAAAATCTGACATGACTAATTTATTTATAACGTCAAAGTCACCAGAAATGATGGGTGGACTGAAATGGTTTGTTGGGGGGAAGAAAAGCACAGACAGGCAATTTTTCAGTTGATTGAAGGAAATCAGGAATGAGGAGTGTGGGGTTGCATGAATTAGGGTTAGGTGTACTGTGAACCCTGTCTCCAAGGACTTCCTGTCCAGTTAGGTTGGTCACCATATGAGACAGGGGGATAGTAAAAGGGCCACCTGGAAGCTCAGAGAGGGTGGTGCCTGGCTGTTCAGAGATTCGTGGCCACAGGAGTCCAATCTGGTTTTGAATCTGAACTATGTCCCTAGCCCATTGTCTGACTTTGGGCATACCACTCTCCCACCCTCAGTTTCACATCTCTAAAATAGGGACAATAATGTCTACCTCAGTGGGTTGTGGTAAGGACCAAAAAGGTCACAAGTGAAAGTGTCCAGTGGTTTCTGGCACTTACGACACATTCAGTCAACAGAGAAGTTACTTCTTTTTATCTTAGTAGCTTGTAGCGGGCACTCAACTCTTCTGAACCTCATTTCTTTCTTTTTTCTTTTTCTTTTTTTAATTGAAGTATACTCAATTCACAATGTTGTGTTACTTTCTGGTGTACAGCATAGTGATTCAGTTATATGTATATATATTCTTTTTCAGTATAGGTTATTACAGGCTACTGAATATAGTTCCCTGTGCTCTACAATAGGACCTTGTTGTTTATCTATGTTGTATATAGTAGCTTGTCTGAACCTCAATTTCTTCATCTGTAAACATGGAGTATGAGAGAGTGTCTGGCACTTAGTCCAAGTTCAAGAAAGGTTGGTTTTTAACTTTTTTGACTTTTATTTTGAAATAATTTCAAAGCTGTAAAATACAGTAGACAGTTCCCCTATCCCCTACACCGAAGCTTCCCCTAGGGCTAACATCATACCTAATCATAGTACCATGATCAAAACCAGGAAATTAACATCTCACAATGTAACGCCATTAACTAAACTGCAGACCTTATTTTTCTGTTCCAGATTTCAAATCAGGATCCTGTGTTCCATTTAGTTGTTGTATCCCTTAGTTTTCTGCGATTTGTGATAGTTCCTCAGTCTTTTTTTGTCTTTCATGACCTTGACACTTTGGATGAGGACTGGTCAATTACTGGGAAGAAATATTTCTCAAGTTCGTCTGATGTTTTCTCATGATTAGACTGAGGTTATACACTTTTTTGCAGAAATACCACAGCAAAGATACTGTGTTACTTTTTTCTTTTTCCTTTATTGTGATAAAATACACATAAAATTTCCATTTAAACCATTTAAAAGCATACAATTCAGTGGTATTCAGTACTCTCACAGTGTTGTGTGACCAGCACCTCCATTTAGTTCTGGAACATTCCATCACCCCTCAAAGAAACCCCTTACCCATTAGCACTCACTTATTCCCATTACCTCCAGCCTCTGGCAATTTCTAATCTGCTTTCTGTCTCTATGGCTTGCCTCTTCTGGGACATTTCATATAAAAAGAATATACAATGTGTAGTCTTTCCTGTTTTTTTTCCCACTTAGCGTCGTGTTTCAAGGCTCCTCCAGCGTTGCAGCATGAAATAGCACGGCACTCCTTTTTATGGCTGAGTAATATTCCGCAACATGGACAGCCCACATTTTACTATTTTCTAATTCAACACTGAAACCTGGGGGTGGGGAAGGAGGGAGCAGACCCCCATGACTGGCAAGAGGTACTGCAAAGTATGGGGAGGGGAAGGGTCAGGACTGGTGCACTGGAGAGCACAGAACTGTACTTATACGTGGCAGACAATGCCTACGGAGGCCCCTCCAAGGACTGCCCCAGGAGTAGCAGACTCCTTTGAAAACCTCATTTGTGAAAAGGGAAACACAGTTGTTCAGGAGGAGGGTGAAACGACCCAAGGATGGAAAGGGAAACTCTCCCTGGGGCTGGAGGAGCTGGTTCTCAGTGGCACTAGCTTTCTAGGGCCAACCACGGCCCCCTGGAGGCCTGCCCGGCTGGGTCAGCAGAGGCTGGGGCTGGGACCGCACTGCGGAGGTGGCCCTGGAACAAGCTCAAGGAGGGGCCAGTGTCCTGGGTGACACTTGCTCATTGCTTATGAAGAAAGGGGAGCCTCCCTTTAGGCAAATACAATAGTTGCAAACTTTCATTTATAAACAAAGTGCACCGAGGGGAGGGCAAACATTTTCATGTCCCAAACGTCACACTCCAGTTGCTCCTTAACTAGCAGATGCCCTTAGGTTTCCCCGAGCGGGTCTGGGGTCGAGCAGCAGGGAATGGTGGTCTCTCAGCTCTCTCTGTGCCGGTAGCCCCCGCA